CCCACCCCCAGCAGGCGCTGGCCAAGGAGATTGGGATGCTGGCTGACCTCACAACCCACCCAAACGTGGTTCACTTCTGGTGCGCGCAACTGCTGAGAGCCACTGCAACTTGGACGAGCAACCAACGCTCCTGCGGGCCAATGCAGCCACTGCAACCATATCCGATAAAACACACGCAGCTGGAAGGGGTCGCAGCCGACCAGCAAGCATGCCCACCAACCCTGCAGGTCGTCATAGTGACCAGGCCCCCCTCCGCACACGGGCGCCCGTCATCGGCGTGTGCTGTACACTGCCTGGCACTGCCTAGTCATGGTCGGCCTCGTGCGCCGCGCCCACTCTCCTTCTCGTATGCAAACTAATTCACTCAACTCATTCTACCTCACCCTACATGATCGCTCGCTCTGCTGCCCTCATCAGCGGGGTGTGCGAGCGCAAGGACCCTTTGAGGCCCCTGGTCATCACGCAGTATTATGAGAAGGGGTCAGTGCTCCAGATGCTGGCAAGGGCCAAATCCTGGCTGGACCTGGCCCCGCCCGCCCGCAAGGAGGTGGGGGCCCCCAGCCGGAACGGCCCGACGGCGGCCGTCTGGTCGTGTGGGCGGCGCCGTGGATGGCGCTGAGACCCCAACCGCCGTAGCTGTGGTCGTTATTATTATTCTCCATTCAATTCAAACAGCTGAGCACCTCGGCGTGACAGTAACGAGACTGGCATGCATGAACATGCACTGCACACCAGTCACAGTCACGCCTCCCCCTCTCACACACACACACACACACACACACACACACACACACACACACACAAACGCACACTCGACACGCGCGCGCGTTCGCAGGAGGCCCTGAGGGAGCTTCATCACCTCAGCTGGGCGGGGCGCCTCAAGATGCTGCACGATGTGGCGGCCGCCATGATGTGAGCCATGCAGTGCTCAGCCCCAGCCCGCCGGCCCGTGCGGCCACCCCCTCTACGCGTCCCTCCTTGCAGTCAACATACAGGCCCTCTCTTTGCTGCAGTCACCAGGCCGCTTTTGGATGTGGGGCCTCAGCATTTCAGCCGCGGCCCCCAGCGCGCACCTCTTACATCAGGCGGCTGCATCGTATCACCCTCCCCCCCCCCACACACACACACAGACACAAAATCGCATATCCACCCACCCACCCGTCCATACCGCAGGCACGTCCACTCCCAGGGGGTGCTTCACGGTGACCTGCGCTCCCCCAACCTGTTTGTGGACAGCCACGGGAAGCTGGTGGTCGCAGACTTTGGCTTCGGCGAGATCCTGCCGAAGGACGTTAAGGACGTGAGAGAGAGAGAGAGAGTTTGTGTGCGTGTGTGTGTGTGTTTGTGTGTGTGTGTGTTTGTGTGTGTGTGTGTGTGTATGTGTGTGTGTGTGTGTTGGAAGGGGTGTAGAGGAGTGGAGGGAGAGAGCTGTGCGGGCTGCCGGCCGGTGGCGCCAGCGCCAGGCATGCTCCGTGGAGCTGCACGTTGCGTACCCAGCTGAGGCGCCTTGGCATCGTTCAATCCAGCAACAGAATGTGGGACAAGCCCCAGTTCATGCCCCAAGCCCCAGCATTCATGACCCTTCCCCTGTTTCCATCGTCCGCTGACTGCAGAATTCCCCTGACCAGGCGTGCTGCGGCCACCCCCTCCACCCCCAGGTGTCACCAAAGAGGACGACCAACCCGCGCTGGGTCGCGCCAGAGGCGCTCCATCCCAAGCACCCCCGCATCTCAAAGGCGTCTGACGTGTACAGCTTTGCGATCATCATGTACGAGGTGGGCGCGGCAGCGGATGGCGGGCGCGTGGGTGGTTGTATTGCATCGGGATTGCATGCTTTGCAGCGCTCCAGGGCGTGGTCCTTCTGGAGTCACTGCATCTGTGCACCTCACTGACTTTTATGCGTGTGTTCAGGCACACATGCATATGCACACACATGCACCTGCGCACACACACACACACACACACACACACACACACACACACACACACACACAAAACAACACACAAATACACGCATGCCACCTCCTGAACATCATCAGATGCTGACGTGGTCCATGCCCTACCACAACATCGCCACAGCCACGGTGAGGCGCCCTCCCCAGCCTCGCTCCCCCAACCCCCTAGCTGGCCGGCTCCCAACCCAGCCGCTTCTTGCGCCGTCCGCTGCACCCCCAGCTACGCCCTGTTACCCCAACTACGCCTTCACTTAATACGCGGCCCTCTGCCTGCCTCAACACGGCCCTCTTGGACGCCCTTGCAGTTTTGTGCTGCGGACTAGCACTCACCAACTCTGCCTCCGTGCCTGTATTCCCTCTTGCCAGCTGATCGTTACTAAGCAGATGAAGGACCTGGGCGGCGTCAGAGTGACCCCTGAGGTACCGCAGCTGCCGCCCGACGAGCAGCTTCCCCTGGCTCCCTGCGGTCCCCACCTGGAGCAGTACAAGCAGCTCATGACGGTGGGCGGTCATGGCGACGTCAACGTGCATTGCGGTCGTACCGCGTGATTTGGGCGGGGGGAAGGGGGGTGGTGAGAGGCGGTGTGCCAGGGTGGCATCAGCTACCCTTCTGGTAACACCAGCAAAGACTTACAGCTGAGAAGTGCACGATTGCCAGCATGGGAATTTCACTTTTTTTCTCTCTGTGTGCGGGCCGCTCCCTCACACACATACACCAATCAAGACACGACACGGGCGCTGTGACCACTGTCCTATGGCACAATGCTAATGGGAAAGCCTGGTGCACAGCCTCATCCAACCAGCCAACAACTCCCCTCCCACACACACCCTCCGTCCCGTCACCTCCCTTAGGCCTGCTGGGACCCAGACCCATCCAAGAGGCCCACGTTTAGGCGGGTGACCGCCCTGCTGGAGAAGCAGCAACAGGTGCGAAGCCCCCCATACCGCCTTGGCTCAACGCCTCCCACCACCCTGATGCACGCGTGCAGCTGCACTAGCACATACCGCGGACGGCCGCGCCACGGCCATCTGCTGGCAATGGCGGCTTGGTGTGTGAAAGCACCACGTCGCGGCCATCTCTTTTCGTTCGGCTGTTCTGGCCCTGCGTCCCTGATCCTGTACTGTACCTGAGCGCAAGGGCCACCTGGTCGCTGCTGATGCGACACCTCTTCGCAGCCGCAGGCATGAGCTTGTGTGGTTGTGCCCTTGTCGTGCCTGCTCATCACTGCACACTGACTATCAGCACGGCGCTTTGTGGCGCAACCGCAGGAATGGGCCAAAGTTTTACAAGCAGAGCAAGAGCTGACGATCTTGGAGGAGTCACCAGCTGCTGACAACACCGCCGCAGCGGATGACATCGCCAACGGCGGCGCCCCTACTACGGGCCTGGACCCCCCCAGGCCGCAGACGCCGCCGCCGCTGGCGGGCGGCGGCGGCAGGGGCGGCGCGGCCCAACAGGGCGGGCGCGGAGCGGGGCCGGGAGGGGTTGCGGCGGCCGGCCGCCCTGGGGTCGAAGGGCCTGCAGTGGCAGGGGTGGTGGCTGAGCCGGCCTCGGCCGAAACCTTGTGGCACTCTGCTGAGCCTCCCAAAGAACGTGAGGCGCCACCAGGGGCGCCCGCTGCAGCGGTCGAGGGCGAGTCTGCACCAGTGGGCACGGACTCTTGCGCGCAGGCCGTGGCGGAGACGGAGCCTGCGCGCGTGGTGCGACCGCTCTTCGGCGGCTGGACGCCGTTTTTGGCGGATGTGACGGGGCAGGTGGTTGCTGCGATCCATGAGGAAAATGGGGGCGGCGCCCCCACAGCCGCGCGTCCCAGCGGACCAGAGGCCGCTGCCGCCGCGCCTACGGGAGTGACAGCGGCAACGGTTGCAGCGGCGGCAGCGGCGGTGTCGGAGGTTCCAGGTGCGGGGGACGAGCTAGGAGAAGCCGTGAGCGCGCCCGGCGGCCCCTTCGCGCGGGCGCACCTGTGCGGCTCCTTTTCATCTGCCGCTGCAAAGCTCGTGGAAGCGGCGGCGCTCCCGGTGGCGCCCGCGCACGAGCCGGTCGACGCGGCGACAGCCCTGGCATTCACGGGCGCATCTGACTCGGGCCCGTTTGCGGCGCTCGTCGCCGACTTCGGCGTCGCGTGTCTGGATAGTGAGGATACAAGCCAGCCGCGCTGCGCCGCCCCCAGCTCCATGGATGGCGGCGACTTCAACCCGTTTGCGGCCATGCAGCTGGGCTGCATCCTTGGCAGCGACCCCAGCGGGCCGCATTCGCCGCCAGGGGCGATCGACAGGGGCTTGGCCGCGAGCTCCAGCGGCGAAGCGGTCAACCCCGTGAAGGCAGCTGCAGCGCGGGCAGCGGCCGCCGCTGCGCCGCGCCCACCTTTTGCTGAGTGCGAGAGCGCCGCCGCGCTCACCCTGGCAGGGCAGCGGCCCCACCCCGAGGCAGCCCGCAGCGCAGCCACTGCGGCGTCGGTGGCGGTGGCGGCGGTGGAAGAGGAGGCGTCAGAGACTCCAATGTCGACGATGGCGCAGAGCATCGGCTGGCGCCATGACAGGGCGCAGGAGGAGCTCGAGGTCCTGCTGCGCCGCTTGAACCCCAGCGCTGCCCAGACCCAGCCGCCGCCCGCCGCCGGCGCTGCGGGCACCGGCGGCGCGGCGGCGTGCCCGCCGCTGCCGGAAGGGGAGCTGCCGCACTGGCCTGAGCCCAACTCTGGCGGCTCAAGGCCGTTGACGGGGTCGCCGTCGTCTGCGCCGTCACCGCAGGTGGTCTGGTCCCGGTGAGGCCCTGGAACAGTGACCCTCGAAATCCCAACAGCTAGTCGCGCCAGCTGAGACCCGCGGGGGTATACACATGTGCGTGACAGCCGTGCCGCCTTCCGGCGTGCAGCATTCGCCCATCCAGTGTGCCGCCTGCCACGCTGCGGCGGTTGGGCTACGACCCTTTTGACATTCCAGGAGTGATGGCGCCAGCACCTGGCGCGGCCCCGCACCTTGTAGCACGTCCGCGGCGCGTTCCGCCAACACACCCAACCCCGCCCCCGCCTGCGCGCCTTCCCCGCCTTGCAGCGGCGTGTGCCAGCGGCCCCCCCTGGTGGTGACTGAGTACTTCAGCAACGGGTCCCTCTACACGCTGCTGCAGAAGGCCCACATGCAGCTGATATCAAAGAACTCCAGCCAGAAGGTGCGGCACCGCGCCTCGCGCTTTTGCGCGCACACTTTCGTGCGTTTGAGGGGAGGGGGGTTGGACTTGAGAGTATGCCGGAGCATACGGGTAGACGATGTGTGGCGTGCAAGGCGGGCTAGGCAACGTTCATGTACACATGCTTGGCTGTCAACTGGCTGCCCAAACAGTGTGTTTTGGCTTCATCTGCTGATCACAGGACGCCTTTAGCGGCTCGCGTCACGGCGCTGCGACCAACCATGCGGCTGTTTGATGCAGCGATTGGCAGCCGGTGCCCCGCCTCTGTGCCGGGGCTGACCGGGCCGCGGCTCCCGCAACCCACTTCCCCCCCCCCACACCCATCACAGCACGTGAAGTGGCTGTCGTGGAGGTGGCGTCTGGAGATGCTGCACCAAGTGGCGGGCGGCATGATGTGAGGCTCTTTGAGGGTTTGATTTCCTTTTCTTGAGGGAGGGGGTAGACTGGTGCCGGGCGGCTGGGGTATGAGGCGTGAGCGCCACCCGGAGTGGCATCGCTTGTGAAGGCCTGGACGGCATTGCGGCGGCGGGCCGCTTGAGAGGAGCAGCCGTGGCCCGCGCCCGGCGCAGCAGCCCATCCCGCCCGCCGAGGCGAGGTTTTCTTGGGCCCTTGCATCCGAGCAGGCCCCAACGCTCCCTTATGCCCGCCCCTGACGTCCCGCCTCCCCCCCCCAAAACAGGTACCTCCACAACTGCAACTTTGTGCTTGGGGACCTGTGCTCCCACAACCTATTTGTAGGCGGCGACGGCAGGATCAAGATCGGGGACTTTGGGTTCTGCCAGATCCTCCCGTCAGATGCAAAGCGGGTGGGGGTCTCACCTGCGCCACCACATTGGTGGTATTATTGCCGTTTTGTGTGTGTGTGTGTGTGTGTGTGTGTGTGTGTGTGTGTGTGTGTGTGTGTGTGTGTGTGTGTGTGTGCTCTGGTTGATGTGTGCGTCGACGAATTGCACTGCTGGGCGGCAAGCTGGGACGCATGATCATGGGAAAATTCATGGTTAGGGGTACGCTAGGGGCCAAGGCAAGCTGAGCTGCCTAGCTGAAGGTCGGCAACTTGCGTGGTTGTGTGTGTTTGGTGGTAAAAGGGTGATGCGGTTCAAGAGAGGGTGGCAGCTTAGGATCAAGGGTGGAGAACGCGTGGGGTGTCTGGGTGATGGGGGTGCCGCGCGTCCCGTGTTGGCAGCACCCTGTGTTTTGCGCGCCCGCTGGCTGCCTATGACACCCTTTACATGCCCCTCGAGCCGTGTTGCCCAACCTCGGCATCCCCAAACCCACAACAACTCAACCTCGTACCAACCCAGATCACGGTGACGGAGCAGACGCACCCGCGCTGGGTGGCGCCAGAGATGATGCGGTCCTACGAGCTGTCCAAGGCGGCTGACGTGTACAGCTTTGCTATCGTGATGTACGAGGCGCTGACGTGGCGGAAGCCCTTCTTCAACATGAGGACCCCTCTGGTGGGGGGGAGGGTGGGGTGTGTCAGGG